TACTGGTATTTAGCTTTAAAAAAAGTATTTTCACTGCTGTTAAAACAAAGGGAGGCACACAGCTGTATTAACAGGGCTGTCTGTAAATTACATTTATTTATTAAAGAAAGATGATTAAAAAAAGACTAACACATTTAATCTGATGAATCAATTCAATCAAATTTAAGACTTTAAATTACATTACATTTGCAGGAAAAATTCGAAGTGATTTATGAAATTTTGGTATTAATCTGATGTCACTGAACCAAATTACTGCATCATACTGAGAGTGCATTATCAAGACCTCTCAGTATGATGAAGATCAACCTCAGTAATAAACACAGAATTAAATCAGCGCCTCTCTGACACAAATTAAACATGAGAAGCTGCTGTATGAGGTGATACAGGTGTTCCTAATAAAGTGACCACTGAGTGTGAAGTTAAAGCTGCTGTATCAGGTGTTCCTAATAAAGTGAGCGCTGCGGCTGATCGAGAGTGAACACACTGACCTCTGCTGGTTGTTTTCAGCTATTTATTTTCAGTACTCAGCAGTAAGGGTTATATATATGGACAAGTTTTTCTGTTAAGAAATGAATTATCAAAACATAGTTTATAAAAGTGTATAGTAAGCATTACAGATATATGCATGGAAACAAAACGTTAAAACAAAAGAAGGGTTATAGTTCCAAACCAAATCTTTTTCTTCTTCTTCTCCTCCTCTCTAAACTCTACGTGAAATGCAGGCGGAAGTGTCCACTCAGAAAGCAAACATGGTGGAGGAGGAGGAAGATGCAAAAATAAAAAATGTACAGTTATTATTTCTGTGTAGTTCTAGATCACATGGACTCCTACAGCACTTGACGGTCACTGCACGGCTTTGACTTCATCTTTTTTTTTCTTTTTTTTAAAACTAGCACCGGTGCTCCTGAACACGCCGACAAACTGTGTTTAAACACACACGCACACACAGAGGCGTCCGAAGAGTCGCACTTAAATAGGAGGAGAAAAAAAACAGAACACCAATAAATACAGGAAGTTACCATGAAACAGAACCAAGGGTCAAACCATGAGCTCCAACTAAGAGTCGTCCCTTTTCAACAGGAGGGAGGTGGAGGGGGCGGGGTCAGCCGGTGGAGAGATAAATATGACAGAGAGGATGATGGGAAGGCTCGACTGAGAAAGACCGTCACAACATCACTTGGTAAAAGGCAAGAAAAACACTTTCCATCATCATCATCATCATCATCATCATCATGGTGTACAGTTCTTACATCTTCACACAGGTCAGAGTCCGTCATCTCCACAGAACAGGGGCATTGTGGGTAGAAAGGAGGGGGTGTTTACATCAACACAGCTCTAAACTCACACATCCTAAAGACTAGCGCCGTCCATTACAAGTGTTAATAATAATAATAATAATAATAATAATAATAATAATAATCAGAATATAAATAAATGCATTACTACAATGATCTGTCGTCTTTTTTCCTTCTTAGAAAACAGGTGCTGAGATACAGAGTCAGAATACGGATACAATACAGGTCAGACAATATACACCTTTACTTTACTGTGGGCGGGGCCCCACGGGTCCTTCCTCCTTTATACTCAGTCTCAAATCAGACCGGATCGGACTGAATCCAATCGGATCAGATGAGATCAGAGCAAATCAGATCAGATCAGATCAGATCAGGACGGGACGGGACGGCTTCAACTTCACACACACATTCAAACACACAGAGGGACGAGACAGGACGACATTCAGACATATCTGACTTTATGCTAAACGTCCTGCATCTGAAACTATTCTTTAACAACAAACTGTCTAAACTCAAAGTCCACTTCCTGTCTTCTACAGTTTGAAGTTTCGCTGCAACAATTCGTCACTCGATTATTTGTTCGACAGGAAATGAATCTGCAACTATTCTGATAACGAGAAATGACTGAAGTCATTTTAGATGTTTATATTCAGGTTTTGTGGCTCTGCTTAAAGTCAACTAGTTATTTTGGGTTTGGAAATGTCGCTTGGACAAAATGTGATGACATCACCTCAGGATCCAGGTTACTGTAACAGGCTTTTCTCACCGTGCCATCGTATTCGTAGATAAAACAATTCATCGAGACAGAAGTAGAAGAAAATATTACAGTACTATTATTAACAGAATGATGATTTTTTTCAATATCTTAGATAAGCAAATCTACACAGTACAATAACCGTCAACTTTTATATCATGGTATACCTTACAACTGGTACATCACTACAACCGTAGCTCCCGCACATTTTGACTGATGAAAACTTTTTAAAATCCTTTCTGACTTTCTTTAAGCCATTTACAACAGTCTGGACGTTACAGCGACACAGACGTACGTTATATATAAAGCTACGTGTCTTTTTGTGGGACAGAAAACTGAGGATCCTGTAAGTGGCTGAGTGACACGTTTGTATGAATCTATTTCTTGTTTTATGGTCGTGTAATAATTGTTTTGTGGCATTGCCTGAATGTGAGCCTACGTAATGACTTCATAAATTATGGGTGGTCACCGTCACATTGCTTCAGTCGTTTCAGCGGTCACACAGCATCGCACCAGATCTTAAATCAATAATACAGAAAGCACAGTTTGAACCTCAGATGTGTTTCGGTATTTTATGAATTAAATTTAAACAGCCAAAACTATTCAGATTGAAAACTTTTCAGAAACACTCCGTTCATTTCATTTCCAGGCCTGGAAAACTGTTTTTTAATTCCATAACTTTTCCAGGAATTTCCTGACCATGGAAATCCTGTGGAGAAAATAATTGGTGATGAACAGTTGCAGCTTTAGTTAAAGCACCAGATAAAGACAGTGAACGAACTCTGGAGTTTGGATTCAAAGTTTCACGACATTAAAGAAGTTTGAACAAACAGACCGTCAGTTAATAGCTTCCCAGATTCTCTACAATTTGACTTTAATGAACCAGACGTGAAGAGACGAAATCTGTGGAAACACGTAACTCGGAAAATAAACTTTGTAGTGTCGGAGAACAATTATGTAATTGACTGAACGTTAATATTTCATACAGGCATGACATGACGTCATGAATAACCAATTAGATGCTAGAGTAGAGTTTATGTTCGTTAATGGCTTCCCAATTCTCTACGATTTAACTTTAACAAGTGAACAGGACTAATTTCTTTCAGCAGCAGTGCTCTCTGGGCTTTTCTTGTCAAAAGTTCGGTCAAACTGATGACACTCATTTTGATCACCATGCCTAAAAAAATGCATTCCTGAAATTGAAAACAGTCCGCATAACTATTTAAATTTAAAGCTGACCTACAGTTGAAAGCGAAAGAAAAAAACCTCTAAAATTTGGATCGAGAGTTTTAGGACGTAAAACAGGTTTAAACACACAACTGTGTCCTCGGAGCTTTTCCAACCACAAATCTGAAGATATTTTTAAAATCAGTCAAACTAATCGGACTCGTTTTGATCCCCAAGCCTCTAAATGTATTCCTGAACAGTTTGAAAACTGATTCAAATTGAACGTCCACTTACTGCCTTTTTTTTTTTTTTTTTGAGCTTTCAACCACATCACTCAGTCTTCCTTACCGGAGAGAGTTTGCTCAGTAGCTGATAAATCTTAGTTTTATTCGCGCCAGCTTCAAAGTTGAATATGAAAGTTTTGATCTAGGACTTTTTATCTGCTGATGAAGACCTTGTGGTGAAAGCTCCTGCAGCAGGGCCTTGAGTTGTTTAGTCAAAGAAGAATTATTTACTGCTTTGGTTCACGACATAAAAAAAGGAAGTTGTGGTCACAAATTTTCTATAATTAGTTGAAACATGTTAACGAAGAAACGACCGGCTCCGTGTTTGAGCAGCTACAGACGAACCGACACGTTTAATGATGAACACACCTGTAAGTCTCAAACTGCTGCTGTTGAATCTGTGTGTCAACCAGACGTCGGGTCTATTGGGAAGCTACAAGAATCCGACACTCATCTTAGAAACACACACACACACACATTTAGAGCAGACCGAAGCGTCCCGTCTTGAGTCCTTAAAGCTCCCACAGGTCCCTGCTGCGTCCTGTCCAACCATCCAGGGACAAAAAGGAAAAACAAACCAGCTGTCTCTGACTGTCCTTATCAGCATGTCCACTGCACCTACATGTTTGTCTTAAATAAAAACACTTTGTTTCGACCGACTCGGTCAGAATATGGTTTAAAAACATTGTGACAAAGGCCACGAGAAGATTGCGGCGAGACAGAACTCCCTATAAACACCATCAGCACTGGGATGGAGGCGGAACACAGAGAAACCAACTGCAAAACAGGACCAATCAGCTCCCGGGACCAGAATAGACGAGATGGCTCGAAAACAAGCGTCAGACTTCCTCGCGCCTTCAACGGGACCCTCACAGCAGCTCAACCAAGTCACGACCACACGACTCGTCAGTCTTTACGACTCAAACAGTCTGAGTTGCTGCGGCCGCAGGAGGCGTCCACAGGAAGTTCAACACCTCAGCGTTACAGGGCAACATGCAGTAGGGACTAAGGCAGATGGAGTGAAGTCCATGCAGTTTATACAAAACTACATCACGTCTGTCTACAGTCCATGTCTGCCTGTCCGTCTGCCTGTCAGTCAGTCTATGAGGGACAGTCGGACAGTTCTACAACCAGCACCTCGTTGGATGTCCGTGAAGGAAGCCTCAGCTCAGGACAGACTGTGGTGTGTAAGTGTGTATCTGTGTCCGCATGTGTGTGTGTGTGTGTGTGTGTGTGTGTGTGTGTGTGCAGCGTCCCTCCTGCTTTGTGTCTGTTGGGTCATGCAGGACCTGGACTGAGTCTGAGCACCTTCACACACACCACAGCCACACATGGAAAATGAGGAAGAGGAGGGTGAGCAGGAGGAAGAGCTACGTTTGGCACCTCCAGAAACCTTGGCATGTGACTGCACCCCCTCCCCCCACACACACACCTCCCCATGTGTCACCCTTCCCCCCCCCCCTCATCCCTTAGCTTATATGAAGGGGCCGCCGGGCATACCCAGGAAGTTGGGCGCGTGGGCCATGGGAGGGGGCGCCGTCGAGCCGCTCCAGTGCACCTTCATGTGGTGCCTCAGGTTGGACTTGGAGGAGAAACGCTTGTCGCACTGCTGGCAGGAAAACGGCTTCTCCTTGGTGTGGATGCGGCGGTGGCAGATGAGCTGGGTGGAGACACGGAAGGACTTGCCGCAGTCGGGGCACTGATAGCGTTTGGGCTCGGTGTGGATCCGCCGGTGGTTCTTGAGGGACATCAGGTTGGGGAACTCCTTTTGGCAGGAGTTACAGAAGTAGGTCCCGGTCTTGTGGCTGTTCTTGTGGTTGAGCAGGGAGCTGGCGTGGCGGTAGGACCGCCCACATTGATCGCACACATGGGATTTGATGACCTCACTGTGGCTCCCACGGCTGCGAGCTTTTGCAACGCTGCCGGGGTGGAGTCCTTGCTCTTGCATCAAGGTGAGGTCCAGGCCTGACCCCCAGCCCAGCTCCTGGGAGCCCCCCGGTCGAGGCTGCTGGGGTCTGGGCTGGCGGGGCTGTGGCGTCTGGCCGTGGGTGATCTCCATGTGGAGCCTGAAGCTGGCCTGCGTGGGAAAGGCTCGCTGGCAGGACCGGCAGGTCAGCTCCCGCTGCTTCTGGTGGACGCGTCGGTGGTTGTAGAGCTGGGAGGAAACTCGGAAGGCCTTGCCGCAGTCGTGGCAACGGTGGCGCCGCGTCTCTGAGTGGATGCGGCGGTGGTTCTTCAGGGCAAGCAGGTTGGAGTAGGTCTTGAGGCACACGGCACAGTGGTAGATGCCGACAGTGTGGGTGTTTTTGTGGTTGAGGAGGGAGCTGGCATGGCGGTAGGAGCGGCCACATTGATCACATCTGTGCAGAGACAAACAAGGAAGAACAAGAGGGAAGGACCAGGAGGAGGGGGGAGGAGGGAGGAACAGAAGGAAGGAAAAGGGGAGATTAGTAACAGAAGATGGCAGTTTGCTCTCACTCTTCTATTCAAGATTATCTCAGTTACTGGTTACCACTTTTTCTTTAGAATTATAGAAATATTTAAACTACCACTCATCATCTAAGATGTTGCACATACAGGTATATGATCTGAAATCCGGCTTAATGCTTTTAAACAACTACAAAGTGGTGTACCATCTACAGTTAAAAGGTCTACACAGTGATCTGGGAGAGGACTGCTGGGTGGGGGAGGGAGGGACATGGGAGAAACTATGGACAAACAACTGGGAATCATGTGGGGGACTGGGAGGTATCTGCTGCTCCCTGCACTGCACAAATGGACACAGCTGGAAACTATTTCAGAGACCTTCTGTCACAGCTTTCTTTTGGGTGATTACTCAATATAATGATGAAGAATCCATCAAACATGCCTAAAGAACCTCCGCCATGTCAGACTGTAGTTGTCGGAACTGTTAGGAATGATAACCTCGACACATGTGCAGTGCAGCTAGCTCCAAATACTTCCTAATCTTCCCTTTGACATCAAAATGCAAGAGCCCCATCACATGACTGCATGTTCTAGTCTGATATCTGGCCAGTATCATGACACTACCAAAAGGAAACAAACACAAACAAAGACTACAGTCAAAATCAGAACAACAGCAAGGAACAAACATCAATACTTTTAAATTTTGCTAAAATGCTACACACAAAATGCTACGTAAATCAAATCTGTGTCAGAATTTGCTGAGAATACAAAGCATGAAAACAAAACATCTAAACATGAAGGCAGCCTAGAAAACTCAAGTGTGTGATATATGCTAACTGAAAGCAAACGGGGTTGACTTATCTGGTCTCTCCACTAATTCAATTTGTCCAAACTTCAGAAAAATCCGAATTCCGGCACGCGTATGGTCCCAAGGAAGCCGGATTGGAGATCATATACCTGTAATAGACACGTAGAGACCTAAATTTATCTTCACTATTTTTTTTTCCAACTTCGAAGAATCACAAACAACTGACGAGAACTCACGTGTACCGACACTCGTCGCCCTCTCCCGTGGGTGCAGTGGCCTTCCTCCTGACTTCCATGCCTACCTGGTTGTCCCCGCAGCGGTGCCTGGCTAGGCCGGATCTCCCCTGGAAACTCTTCCCACAGGTGGGGCAGCCGAAGGGGGTGGCGCCCTCCTCGTGGACCTTCTGGTGGTTTCGGAGGAACCTGGCCAGCCGGAAAGCTTTCCCACACGTGTGGCAGATGTGCTTCTTTCGCTGCGTGTGGATGCGCATGTGGTTGCGCAACGCCATGTAGTTGGTGTAGGGCTTGTCGCAGAAGTTGCACCGGAAGTTGCCCGTCTTGTGGGTGTGTTTGTGGTTCAGCAAGGAGCTTGCATGTTTGTAGGCACAGCTGCACAGGTCACAGGCATAGGGTCTCTCATCAGAGTCCAAGTCCACAGAGCTTCTCTCCATGCTGATGTTGGTGGAGCTGTTGGTGGAGGAGGATGAAGGCAGGTGCTGGGCTGGGCAGTCATGGGCTGCGAGCTCATCGGCCGTGGCAAAGCCTTCACAGCAGCCATCACACTCAAAATCCATCTGGGCCCCGGGGCCCTGCGGCCCTTTGCACAGGCCGGCTGTAGTGTGGGTAGCTAGCTGCCTCTGGGTGCGGAAGCCTTTGCCGCATTCTTGGCAGTTGTGCTTCTTCTGGGCAAAGTGGAGGCGTAGGTGGTTTTTCATTGCCAGCCTGTTGGGGTACGTGGAGTTGCAAACATTGCAGTGGTACTCTCCGATTTTATGGAGGTTCTTGTGATTAGCCAGGCTGCCAGCGTGGCGGTATGTTTTGCCACATTCTTCACAGGCAAAAGGCCGCCGTCCACTTTCAGCTGGATCAAACTTCTGGGGCCTGGAAGTTCCAGCGGAGGAGTAGGGCTTCTTGAACCCTTGATGGCTGTATTTCATGCCCATTGGCTGACTCTTTGACGACTCTCCTCTCATAGTCTGCATCTGAGATGGTCCGGGCTGCTGGAAGCGGGAACCGTTGGGGCCGGTCCGAACAAGACCTTTGGCTCGGTGCTCCTCGTGGAGACGGAGGTGGTTGATCAGCTGCTTTTGGATCTTGAAAGCCTTGCCGCATTCCTCACACTTGTGCCTGCAGCATGAATGGACAGAGATGAAGAAGACACAATCCATTAAAGCTATTAACTTCAACCAATATGGTGGTGTTTAACATGATCCTCATTCACTGCAACCCAGAAGTCAAAGTCCTAGTAAGGCTGGCAGTCCTGGCACCATGTGCAACACATCTGACAACAAATGGACTCAGCGCAGTTAAAAATCTGAATGTCCTCACTGGAAGGCATTCTACAAAAACTAAAGCTGAATCTCATCAGCCCATGTCTCCATTTCAAGCTGAAAAATCACAATCACATCATCAGTTTGGGACCTTGACTGTGATGAAATCTTGACTCTGTTCCCTCAGTATTTACCCATCAGATGAAACATTAAACCCACTGACAGAGTAAATGGCATTAATCATTTCGTTACAAGACAATGTTCTGTGGGGAACCTTTCGTTCCGACATTCATGTGAATGACATGCTCCATCCACCCAAACACTGTTACAGACCAAGTACCCCCTGTTGAGGCATGGACACCAGACCTCTGGGTATGTCTGGGTGTTGGTGGGGGATCTTTGGGTCCTGCGGGTTGTGAGGTGGGATACCAGCACGTCCCACATATGCTCAATCAGAAAGGGGGGACTTCTGCAACAACTGGGTGGGTGGAGTGTCGGGTGACATCCACATGAATGTCAGGGCCAAAGGATTCTTCACAAAGAAAATCAATGTAACAAGATGATCAAAGTTATTCACGTCACCTGTCAGTGGTTTTAATGTTTCAGCTGATGGACGGGATTAAATCAAAACATACACAACACTAATTTGGTTTTAAACATGAAGTTCTTAAAGGGATAGTGCACCCAAAAATGAAATTTCAGCCATTATCTACTCACCCTCATGCTGAGGAATGCTCACATCCCTGGCGGAGATCGGAGCGGATAGCACACCTAATGGCAGACGGCGCCCCAGACTAACGTCCAAGAACACAAAATTGAAACCACAAAATAGCTCCATACTGCTCATCCATAGCGATCCAAGTGTGCTGCAGCCGCAACATAAAAAGTTGTTTCGAAAAACGTCATTTGAACTCTGTTTTTAGCCTCACTGTAGCCTGTAGCTCTGACTGCTTCTCTGTGCTCCGCACTCACGTGTGCGCGCCTGCACGAGACCAGCGAAAGCATGAGCTTTGCTTACCTGTCTTTACATCACGTGACACGTGCACCACAGGGGGAGACAACAGTAACCACAGAGCTAAAAGATAATTTGCACTACAGTCTTTTAGCAAAGGACAGCCCAACATGTCTGAAGACTTTGAAACTGAGGAGGAACAGCATTTCTTTGTTGAGCCGTATTTGTTTGAGCCTGAGTATACTGACGTGGAACTCAGGCTACTGGATGAAGCAGCCGCCGCAGTTCATGAGCCTAACCCTCAGCCAGCCGCAGAATACTGGAGTCGAGCACTGGAAACCTGGTGGTGTAGTTGTTTCAAATGCAAAGCAATGCCAACGGATGAGGAAAGTCTTTGCTGCTCAGACTGGGAATTGGTGATGCCTGCACTTGAGAATCTGGACATCAGTACTGACGAGACTGCTGCTCTTCAGAGACCGTGCATCACCGATCACCCTGAGTTTCCAGCACTTCTGACCCGTGGTGTTCTGGACACATTTTGTTATTTCCCCAAGATCAACTGGAAGAAAAGGCAGGAGTAAATCATTCATTTCTACCGTAGTTCAGGCGGACAATGGCGTTGGTCTCGGATATGTGGTTACTGTTGTCTCTCCCTGTGGTGCACGTGTCACGTAATGTAGACACAGGTAAGCAAAGCTCGTGCTTTTGCTGGTCTCGCGCAAGCGTGCACACGTGAGCACGGAGCACAGAGAAGCAGTCAGAGCTACAGGCTACAGTGAGGCTAAAAACAGGTTTTTTGAAACAACTTTTTACGTCGGGGCGTCAGGACACTTGGATCACTACGGACGAGCATGTTGGAGATATTTTGTGGTTTCAATTTTGTGTTCTTGGACGTTAGTCTGGGGCGCCGTCAGCCATAAGGTGAGCTAGCCGCTCCCCCCGCCGATCTCTGCAAGGGATGTGAGGACTCTAAAACTTCACCAGAGCCTCCCTCGGTATGAGAGTGAGTAGATAATGGCTGAATTTTCATTTTTGGGTGCACTATCCCTTTAAGCCAACTTTAAAAGATCTGCCCAAATGAAGTAAAAATGGATAGATGTACCTCTTTAGATCAAAGTGGGTCCTTTGGTGATTCTTGAGAGCCAGCAGATTGTAGTAGCGTTTCTGGCACACCAAGCAGCGGAAAACACCCGTCTTATGGGACTTTTTGTGGTTAAGGAGTGAGCAGGGGTGTCTGTACCCTCGTCCACACTGGTCACACTTGTGGGGTTTGTCACTTTGGTCAACCATAGGTCTACGTCCATCGCCACCAACATCACGGCTTCCTCCGGCAACTCCACCGCCGACGCCATCCCCTCCAGACATTCCTTTGGCTCCATTCAGACCCTGCTTGCTCAGTGAGCTGGCCCGATTTTTACCGGGGCACAGGTGGGTGATCAGGTGGTGGCGATCGGCAAAAAACATGCCACAGTCAACACAGATGTGGTTGCGTCCATCCATCTTGTCACTGCCATTAGCTGAGCTGCCTACAATACCCTGTTGCTGGCCATCCGGCCTCTGGGGGCCATGGACTAACTGGTGATTCAGGAGGTCCTGTTTCCTGGAGAAGCTCTGGCCACAGGTGGAGCAGATCATCCTCCACTCTTGCTCCAGGTTGGAAGGTCCTGGCCCCGTTGGGTTATTGGCATGACTACGCAGGTGACTCCTGAGGGCTCTGAGGCTGGCGTAGTGGTTGCCACACACTGAACACTGATACACTTCTCCATCATCATCGTCGTCTTTGTCATTGCTGCCCATCCTCTTGCCTCCGCTCTGGGAGTATTGTCGTTGGCTGCTGCCTTCTTTCAAGTTGCTGGAGCTTCCAGCTGGCAGCGAGGTTCCACTGGAGCTGTGGTAGTTCATATTCCCCATAAACCCGTTGGACATGTTGCTCTGCTGCGACTGCTGGCCACGGCGGGGACACATGTGCGACTTGATGCCGGATACATCTCCATACATCTCACCGCAGTCAGCACACACGTGTCTGTCAGCCTGACGGTGAGCAGAGCTGCTCTGGGAAAGTGAGCTGCCATCAAAGCGATCGTGGAACTCAAGAGAGTCCAACCCACTGCTGTGGCCACCGTCTGGTACAAAGTGGGCAGCATCACCAAGGTTTCCTGGCAGTGAGATTGGAGTGGTCGCACCACTGCCTTCCTGGACGTAGCTCTGCTGGGAGTCCAGAGTGAGCGGCTCTGGTGAAAGCCAGTCATTGCTGTCGTTATTAATAGGCTGGTTGGAGGGACGCCCTTTGTGGCTCCGCAGGTGGCTGTGTAGCGCTGCCAAGTGAGGGTACTGCTTACAGCAGATGGTGCACTGGTAGTGGCCTGTCTGATGGCAGCGTTTGTGGTTGACCAGGCTTCCTGCATGCCGATAGCTTTTGCCACACTCCCCGCACTTAAAACGCCGCTCTCCGTCATCTGGAGAGTTGGCCTGGGGCACACGGCCTCCGGAGGGAGAAGACACTGAGCCCTGTGATCCAGAGCTTATGTCTGAGTTGAGGATGGCGCTGTCCTGGCCATGGGACGCAGGGTGGGGGTCATGGGTCAGATAGTGGACTTTTAGGGTCTCCAGATCTGGGTGTCCTGCGCCACAGTATGCACATGTGTAGATGGGATTGTTGACTGGAGGGCCCATTATGGGGTCGTAGGGACCTCTTTTGTCACTGGGGAGGGGTGGCAGAGGCAGAGGGTCCCCCAGGGCAGGGGTGTACGCTGGGGATCGAACTGCACTCAGGTTGTGGGGCATGATGCCTGGGAAACTACGTGGCAGGCCGAGGGAGGGTGTGGCCGTGTTGTGCAGCAGGATGTGCTCCTGAAAGTCTGTCTTGCTCGGTAGCGCTATCTGGCACAGGTGGCAGAAACAAGAGGCAGTGTTGTCGCTCTGGGACGACTGGGAGACACTGCTGCGCTCCGAGCCATGGAGGCTGCTGCTGCTACTGCTACTGCTCACCATGGAGGCCCCAGGGGTCTTGAACTTCGAGTGAGTTCTCTCGTGGCTGTTTAGGGCAGCCAGGTTGCTAAATTGTTTAAAACACACAGAGCACTTAAACGTTCCTTGCTGGTGACACTTCTTGTGGTTCACCAGGCTACCGTGGTGCCGGTAGGTTCTGTCACACTGATCGCACTTGAATGGTCTGTCCCAAGCGTCGTCAGATTCAGGGGAGCCTTTTTTTCCGTGGTCGTCTGTCTCGTGGCTTTGCAGGACACTATGTCCCATACCACTATTATTCAAATGGGAGCGTCCAAACCCGTCCGAGAGGTCTTGGGCGAGGCCGTAGTCCCTCTCGTCGTGGCCTGCTTCTTCAGCTACTTCTTCGCTCTCTTCTTCTGTGTGTGCACTACTAGGGGACAATGTATGGATACGTAGGTGGTTCTTCAAAGCTACCGCGTTGGGCAGCGTACGCGTACAAACAGGACACTGGAATGAACCCACTTCGTGAGACTTTTTATGATTAGCTAGGCTCGCTGCGTGCTTGTAAATTCGGCCACACTGTTCACACTCAAAGCGTCCGTTCTCTTCTTGCTGATAATGTGCTTTCATATGCTCTAGAAGACTTGGAGTACTCGGACAAACCATATCACACTCTTTACAGGGGAAACCCTTGGCACGACTCATATCATGCATTGCCATAGTACTCTAAAGCAAATCAGTCGGAGGGAATCACGGTTCACAACACAGCAATGAACGGTGACGTTAGGGAGGTGGAGGAGGAAACAGTGGGGCTTAGCTATTCAGTTGAGGGTGGTGGTAGCAGCCATTTTCTCCCCAGTGCAGGTCCAGCCAATTGGGGCCCACCTTGGGAGGTGGCGGGCCTGCAGGGGTCACACCAGCCAATGAGGTATCACTGTTGAGACAAGACGAAGCAGAAAAGAAGAGGGTTACCAAAGAAGCAACTTACCACCCCATTTAAACCTGATCACATTTATTTTTTTTTAAAACATGGAGTTTAACTCAAAATATGTTTTGCAACGGACTAGATCACAGTGACATTGCCCTTCGACCACAAAATTTTACTTTGATCATCTGTGACTCAAAGTGGACATTTGTGCCAAATTCTAGGAAATTCCCTCAAAGTGTTCTTGAGATATCGCAATTATGAGAATGACACGGATGCAAGGTCACAGTGACCATGACCTTTGACCACCAAAATGTTCAAAGCCAGACTCCTTTGAGAAAAACAGTGATTTAACATCAGTGAATACAGGAGCTGCTGAAATCAGTTGGTGTGTTTGTGTCACTGTGTGACTTTGGTGTTTCTAAGGGTTTGTTCAGATTCACCAAAGTCACACAGTGACACAAACACACTAACTGATGGAGGCAGCGGTCGACCAGCAGCTGCTGTGTTCACTGATGTTAAATTACTATGTTTTGTCAATGGAGTCTGGTGGCTTGAATGAGAACATAGACGGCGGAGAAGCCGTTGAAATATTCTAAATATAGCATTTAATAGGGATGTCCCGATCACATTTTTTGATCACATTTTTTTGCCCCTGAGTCCGAGTCCGAGTCATTTGATTTTGAGTATCCGCCGATACCGAGTCCCGATCCGATACTTTGGCAATGCAGTAAAAAATTTTTACTGTAGATTAACTGTATCATCCCACTATTTTTCTGTTCTTTATGCTCTACTAGGGATGTAACAATATCACAATCTCACAATATTACATTACTGTACCCCAATAACAAGCCCATGACATTTATTGCAGTATTGTAAGACATGTCATGATATCAAAACCTCACTGTATGATAATAGTACAGTAGCTCCACGGTATAATATTAATTCCATTATCCATTAGTCAATAACAAGAACATTTGGTCAAAAATAAAATAGCTTATCATGTCTTTCTCAATCACCAGCCTCTTTCCCTTTATCCCTCCCTCACCTGCCTGTCTGCCCCCACCTCACTCACTCCCACACGGACGTGCACGAAAAACAAGCGCGTTGCACCGAAGGCGCACCACTGGCGTCGCTTTGGGTTATGAGCGCACATGACGCACGTCTACAGTAAAAGTAATGGGTTTGAGAGTGCAAAAGAGCTACATCTGAACGCCCCCCATGCGGCACGTCTTGCTTTAGACAAATAGGGAAAACCCTGACATGTATCTGATATGTCACAGGCCTATATCTGATCCCTGATCGGGATGTAACTTCCGATTCCGATTGAGTCTGAAACCACGTGATTGGCCCCGATTTCCGATCATGTGATCGGATCGGGACATGTCTAGCATTTAACTTGTCAAAGCTCTACGCTTAGAAAACTAAAAGCCCAAAACATTAAACACTGTTCATTAATCTGCAAAAAAAAACTAAAACAATGAATTGGCAACAGTTTTGATAACCAATTAATCTTTTCAGTCCATTTTTAGGCAAACACGACAAATGTTCTGTTGTTGCAGCTTCTCCAATGAAGTGTTGTCACAATACTGACATTTTGGACACAATTACTTAAAAATGTTCAATATTAAATACAATTTTCAATACCACAGGAAGACAAACTGACTTCTGTTGTACAGGTAGATTTTTTTTCTTAAAAGAAAAATAAAACCAAGTTTCTTTTCTTGGTTAGCAGCAGAGAACAGCAGAATGATTGCACATGATCCTATACATATGTTTCTAATGTTTTTACTCTGCAACTCATTTTAATTGTTACCCAGATTATCATTTATTGTTTTATCAGTTCATTAATATGCAATATTTATTCCTCTGCACTCGCCTATTTTTATTCTTTTGAGTATTCACAGTGCACTTTAATGTTCTGTCATGTCGTGTCCATGTTAAATGTATGTTTGCTGTATGTTCGTTACTGCACTAGGAATTATGAGCAATGACAGTTCATCCGCTGTGTGCTGCTGTTCACAGTTACTGACGATCATAGTTTTTTCTTCAGTCGTTTCTCAGGGGTCAGTTATCGTTTTATTTTGAGTCCTGAAATGAACGAATTATGGAGCCGCCTGTGAGGATGTGACTGAGCGACACACGGATGGTCTGATGTTGACACACTGCTGTTTGTTCCTGACGTCACGTGGCACTGATGGAGAACGCTGCACCTGCCGACACAACGACGACAACCAAGACTTCAGCCTCCGAATTCCTCCATCACATTTACACTGTGTTAAATATGTCTGACACGTTACTACTGTTGTTCCTCATGACCTGAGACACACTGAAAATATTGATTTTTTTGTTTGTTTTCTATCATCATAAACCGACTCTGGCTGTGGACACGTGTTGGTTCAGGAGGCAAGATTTAGTTTCTACTTTAGCTGATGTTCAGATGTGCATTTTGTTTTTCTTCTTTAATATCTTAGAAATAGTGTTTTGTCACTTTGATTTTTGATGACTTTCAAACAAAAGGACAGAGGTCCATTCATGTCCTCAAGGACCCTGCAGCTTTCTCAAGGACTCCTGGAATCTCCTCAAACACCACAAGAACTCAGAGCTCAGTAAATCCCGGACTACTGAGATACTGATAACTGAGATTCACAAATATCTGTTGTCAAAAACATATTCAGTAAAGTTTTATACATATTTGTAAATAACTGAATGTACTCACAGATATATTTTTTTAATTTGTGGAATTTTGTATTTTCCAAATTGTTATTTGAGTTTACTTTTTTATGTCTTTGTGTGAAGTGTTTTTATATTTACAGATGACGCATTAATAACCAGTTCACACGGATAATATTGACACTAATCTGTCTCCATGTGTCTCACACAAGTCAGAGTGTTTTCTGTTTTTATTAATCTGTGAAACGTTGCCTCTGAATATTGACAAACTCTCACTATTAATCATTTAAATCTGATTTTCAATATTTCATTTTTCTAATTTTAACTTGGTTTATCATGATGTTTATTTTTACTCTATTTTATAGCTTACTTAACTTTTTTTTTTGCTTTTTTAAATAATATTTTATATTCCTATTGTTATATAATATATAATTTTCTAATCTCATAAAACTTCAGTTCTCCTTTAAGTTGTTTTGCAGTAAAGCACTCTGAGCTGCATGTTTGTGTGTGAGGTGGTGTATGAGTAAATTTAAGTTGAGCAGAATTAAAGACTAAAAATTAAAAACAAAAAAATAAACAGAATTTTGACCCAGTTTTGTTTCTATTTCTATTCTACTCTCTTTTACTGTGCACATCAGTCAGAAGTTAACCTGCATGTCGTTTTCTTTGTGTGACGACAGTAAAACTGAATTCAGTCTTTAAACAGTTTCAACACATTCTCATGGACAAAGTTTCAAAACTTTCCAGGACTTTTCAAGGACCAGGAATAAAATTTTAATTTCATAAAACCATGCACTTGTGCACCATGCACTGTGTCTGCTGCAGTTAGCAGCCTGGTTGCAATACTTTTACACACACACACACACACACAGAAGAGTCTCGCTTCCTGTATCAAACGCCACCACACTACTTCACGAGAGTGAAAAATTAGTACACGAAAAACTTTTTTTTTTTTTTTTTTTAGGGGGGAGGGGGGTGATACTAATTGTTGACTAACTGTGATAGACTGTGAATATGACAAGAAATGTGTAAGACTGGGTCTGGCAACAGGTCAGTAGCCTACGTGCTCCGTTCTATTAAAACGGCGTGTTCGTTAAGTGGGTGAAGAGGACACGAAATTGTTTGCGCTTTTACGCACGGGTCGTTAGGGCTGGACAATTATGGCAAAAATAATAATCACGATTAATAAACACGCTTATTCATTGATTTCAAAACTCCACCAAAACTCAACTTTAATTATAACTTAAAAGAACAGCCAGAAATAAGTTGGTAACAATTAAACAAGTAAAAAAAAATAAATAAATAATAGTAAATTAAAATAATAATAGCAATAAAAACAACAAATAAAAATAAATACTAGGGCTGACCCAAGTTCGACAGCACGGGATTCGATTGTGAAAAAAAAAACTTGAATATTCGGCCTTTTTTTTCCTCCCGTTTTTTTGGGGGGGACCTTGAACACAACACCATCTCCGACAAGGAAATAGAAAGCCCGACGTGCAATGAATGAAGACCTATTATCCTGCTTGAACACAGACAGCTAAATTCTTTCAATGATGTGACTCAAAATAATGATAAAATAGATTTTACTGATGTAAAATAATATGCTGATGGTGACATTTTCCACCGGTCTGGTGTCAGTGACACATGCTGCTCCGAGTCGCGCATCTGTCTGCTTGCGCTGCAGTGCGCCGAGGGTTTTAATTTTTAGTGGTAAATCAAAAGTTAAACACTACTTATCAGCAACCAGAAGTGTTTTTTCATTTGTGAATATTTTTATCTTAATTCTAGGGTTGCAAGAAACTACCTTTTCGCCATAATTTGTAAGTTATTCATTTTTTTGGACTTTTTTTTCCCGCTCATGTTGCCTTGGGGGGCAGACACGACAGCGTGACAATGACAGATGACTGAAGTTGTCCTACCTTTCTTCTCAACCAAAGGCTGCCTTTCTGCATGTTCTCAATCGCTCGCTCCACATATTATTGATCCACACACGTCACACGCTTGCTGCTGCTGCACATAACACAGGTTCATTCACTTACATACACGCCACGCCGTGCGGCGCATTAATCGTTTTTCTTCGATTATAATGTTTTTATGATCGTGAGAAGCCAAAATCGAAATCATGATTAAAATTCGATTAATCGTCCAGCCCTACGGGTCGGTGGTGGAGTGGCGCACATGACTCATGCTACGGACGGACGGACGAGCCACATATCTCAGTGCTGCTTAAAAACAGGTAATACATCTGGCTACATCTTTCCCACATCAAATATCCGTGATAGCCTACACCCGCGTGCGTAAAAGCGCACACAATTCCGGCTTCTACAGGCTCG